TTCATCTTCATCTTCATCTTCATCTTCATCTTCAATTTCATCTTCATCTTCATCTTCATCTTTATCTTCATCTTCATCTTCATCTTCATCTTCATCTTCATCTTCATCTTCATCTTCATCTTCATCTTCATCGTTATCTTTGTTTTTGTCTATATTGTCTTTGCATTAGTCTTTCCCCGCCCAATTGGTGTTTAACGCAGCTACTCGTTTTCTATACCCGCCATATACTATACATAGCGGAGCTGTAATAATAAAATTCACTTCAATAACTTTTTAAACAGGTGGTCACCGTCTTCAAGCACCTCAAAAATATTTTAATTGTGTTTCTTTAAGCCCTTTCTTTTCACGCTTACTGTATAGTATTTTATGCATAAGACTTTTTTATAATTTAACTAAATTTTACTTTTTAAACAGGTGGCAACCCTCCTACATTTAGCTAAAAAATACAGTTTATTCAATACCATTTCTTTTAATACCCATATTGGGATAATTCATTTAACTTAATAAATAATTTGAATTTGATTTTCGTTTATATGGCAACCCTTTAAACAACTAAAACTATATTGCACATCGTCAGGTCAAGCCTCACGTTTGAAAATCACGTTTGAAAATCGAACGAACGATACAGATTTTATGACTTGGTGTTAAATATTTAACGAAACCCTCTGCGGCAGAGAATATTTGAGTTCGATTTTCTAACATGTGGCAACTCCTTTCATGGAACTAAATCTATTTTGCACACCCGAAGGACAAGGCCGTTCATGTGACACCTCATTTTTGAAAATCGAACGAACGATACAGATTTTATGGCTTGGTGTTAAATATTTAACGCAACCCTCTGCGGCAGAGAAATTTTGAATTCGATTTTCTAACATGTGGCAACTCCTTTCATGGAACTAAATCTATGTTGCACACCCGAAGGACAAGGCCTTTCATGTGACACCTCATTTTTGAAAATCGAACGAACGATACAGATTTTATGGCTTGGTGTTAAATATTTAACGCAACCCTCTGCGGCAGGGAAATTTTGAATTCGTTTATCTAACATGTGGCAACTCCTTTCATGGAACTAAAGCTATGTTACACACCCGAAGGACAAGGCCTTTCGTGTGACACCTCATTTTTGAAAATCGAACGAACGATACAGATTTTATGGCTTGGTGTTAAATATTTAACGCAACCATCTCCGAACTCGATTAAGAAGTTTCACTTCAAAAACGGTGTTCACATGAGGCGATTTTCCAGGTAATTTAAGAGACGATTAGTTGAAAGGCCATTAACACTAGGCGATTTTTGCTTTCAACTAAAAGTTGCCTGTAAATTCGCCTCATGTAAATACCGTATAAGGTTCAAGCACTTTTTCCAGTCGCTTGAGGAGCTTCGTGGTGAGCAGAGAACGTTTTTCCTCTAAGAAGCCTTCGATGTAATCGCTCTGTTCCAAATATTTTCCGCCTTTATTTATTTTAGACGCTCGAACTGGTTTCTAAAATTCAAATGAATTTTAAGCTCTACATACAAACATAAGTTCATAGAAATCATATTTTTGTCAGATAAATTCAATCACCAAGCGTGACGTTGAAAAATTATAACCCAAATTTTAGCGTCATCTTTGCAATTGAAATCTAAGTTTTTGTTAAAAAATTGAAGAGCATTGCACTGCAAGAAAAAAAAATCCCATTACTCTACTTATCACTTAACACGACTTCAATGATCTTTGGAACAGACAACCGGCTGTAAATGCGGGAGATATGGCGAAAAATTTAAAAATGCGACACGCACGTTCGGCCACAAAACAAAAAAAATTTTAAATTTCCTTGCAAAAATGCTTTAGACTCAGTGGTATACGGCGAACCTTTTTTTCTGGTACGGCCTAGTTCACATGTATAAATTTAAGTCTCTAGGCAGAACTTAATTGCTTCGGTGCGCTTTTGTAAGAAATAACAAGTAAGAAAGTCTAAGTTCGGGCGGAGCCGAACATTAAATACCCGGCGCAAGTATTAAATATATGTTTTCCACCTTTCCGAAAGCTACCGCTACATGATAAGCCGGGGTGTAAATTAGCGTCCTTAAATTTCGAAATATTGAAATTTCAAGCATTTCTGAAATTTACCGTTATATGAAAAGCGGCCTCAATTTTAGTCCGATTTCAACAATTTTCAACGGTTTGCTTTTATGTGGAAGCACAATAACCATACCGAGCTTGGTACAAATTGCTAGAACGGTTAGCGAGATACATATATGTGATCACAAGTGGGCGGTGCTACGCCCATTTTCCAAAATTTTGTCATAAACGTATTTCTTGGTAAAGAATTGTTGCAACCATCAATTTTGAATAAATTAGCTTCAATATTTACTGATTTATCGAAGATTTTGTATTTCTCGAAATTACCGTTATATGGGACGTGGGCGTGGTTATTGTCCGATTTTAGAAATTTGGCCATTGGTCATTTGGTATACTGTACCAGGACCAACAACTGTGCCAAGTTTGGAAGAAATTGGTGTAGCGGTTACCAAGATATACACATGTAACCATAAGTGGGCGTGGCTACGCCCATTTGCCAAAATTTTGTAATATTCTTATTTTTCGTCTAAAACTCATTGCAAATATCAATTTTGAGTGAATTATCTTCAGTAGTTACTAAAATATCGCAGTTTTCGTATTTTTTTAAATTACCGTTATATGGGAGGTAGGCGTGGTTATTGTCCGATTTCGCCCATTTTCAATACCATCCGTCCTACGCCCAAAAGAAGTTCACGTACCAAGTTTCGTTAAGATATCTCAATTTTTACTCGAGTTATCGTGTGCACAGACGGACGGACGGACGGACGGACGGACAGACAGTCACCGCTTAATCGATTTCTCTTTTCATTCTGATCATTTATGTATACATTTGTCTATATCTATCTCGATTCGTTTTGCCTGTTACAAACAACCGTTATGTGAACAAAGTTATAATACCCTTGTGCACAAGTGCGCTCGGGTATAAAAACTTGTAGGTTAAGTTAGGGTAGGTTGAAGTGGCAGTCGGTTCAAGGGACCAACTCACTTACACCTTTTGAAGGTCCATTGTGGTACCACTGCAGAACACGGGAACCTCGGTGACTATTCTTCAGAGAACTATTTTGATGCTCTTATAAAGCGTATGATTGCTTTTATTGCTACGCTTGATAATTCCGTAAGAGAGCTAAAGAAGGTCATACCTAAAAAGCCTGCTCTCCTTTTGGCCAAAGTTGGGCAACTACAGAAGAAGTGCCCTACGGTTTCTTCCTCTTACTCATTTCTGCAACTGCTGCAATATTCGAAGGGAGTATATTCCCAGTCTTGAAGAGTGCCTGCCAAATTGCCAATGACCGGTTACACAAGCCGTGACCATCACAATACCCTCTCTTGTGACCAAAGTAGCCTGGTTGTTCTACAAGTGCCATCAACTAGTTATGACCAGCTGGCCTTTTGGATCATGCTATTTCGGAGTTCTAATTTTCAAGTTGCCATGGGTATCCCAATAGTGCCTCTGTTTTCACATACTTAGGTAAAAAACTTCTAGCACCGTGTAAAACTGGTATTCTATAAGCCATTCTCATTCGGAAACATACTGTCGTTTCTCACGATTTATATTCAATTCGCAATTTTCATTTCTCATCTATCATTCCAGATATCGGAAACCTTACACTTTCTACCCCACATACGTGCGCCTGCTATGAAAGCGCAAAACGATATACCACTTTACGGTATCATTACAATGCAAACAGTCGAACCTTCGCTATGTACGCTGCAGTGGGAGGGTAAGTGTTGGAAACTTTAAATATTCTCAGTTAATCCTAAAAGTGTCAGTCCATACTACATACATTTCTCCATTTTCCAGGTTTCTCACAATTACGTCTACATAAGCGTGGGTTTTTAATGCTTTTTGTACTGTTAATGCAATAAATTATTGCAATAGCATTAATTTAAACATTCTAATGTTAATGCATAAAAAAATTCATTAGTATTATTTTTCGGGATTAATGCATTTAAATTTTCATTAACATTGAATTTCAAAAATTAATGCATTAATTTTTATACCCGAGCGCACTTGTGCACAAGGTATTATAACTTTGTTCACATAACGGTTGTTTGTAACAGGCAAAACGAATCGAGATAGATATAGACAAATGTATACATAAATGATCAGAACGAAAAGAGAAATCGATTAAGCGGTGACTGTCACGCCCACTTATGGTTACATGCATGGTAACCGCTGCACCAATTCCTTCCAAACTTGGCACAGTTGTTGGTCCTGGTACAAAATACCAAATGGCCGAAAACTTTTAAAATCGGACAATAACCACGCCCACATCCCATATAACGGTAATTTAGAAAAATACGAAATCCCCGATAAATCAGTAAATATTAAAGCTAATTTTTTCAAAATTGATGGGTGCAACAATTCTTAACA